GACCTTTTGCTATAGAGCTGGTGTCCTATGGCTTTTCTGGTTCCCCTCTTCTCCAGGGAGATTTCCTGGTGACTAGTTTTGCTGCGTGTGGATTTTCAGGGATTTCTAAGAAAGTGATGCTGTACAGGAGTGCGGCCTATTTTGAATCATGAAAAAGGAGGCTGCCAGAGGCTTTGCAGCTGGAGTTGCGACAGCGCGGGGGAGTGCTGTGGTCCTCCGCCAAGGCCCCTCCATCTTGCTGCACGCCGGCGGTGGTGGAGGGGGGAGCCCCCATCACCTGCAGAGAGCTTGGAGCGGGGCGTCCAGAGAAGCGCGGTATAAGGGATGATTGCCATTAACTCGGGTCTTGTCCGCCCCGGCAGATATGATCATGGACAGCATGGTGGCCTCGGGGCAGCTGGACGAGTCTCTGCGCGAGAAGGTCCGGGAGGCCATGCTGAAGAGGCACCACCACCAGAACGAGAAGAAGCTCAGCAACCGCATCCCGCTGGTGCGCTCCTTCGCGGACATAGGCAAGAAACATTCCGACCCGCACTTGCTTGAGAAAAACGGTGAGATCTTTCGCCGGGGGTCGGGGGATCTGTCCGATTGTGGGACCCTCTCGACCGCGGGGGGGATACAAAAAAACGGGGTCGAAGAGCGTCTTCGCGCGAAGCCAGTGTAAAAACCTCTGGGTTCGTATTGTTGGCTTCGCGAGTGACCGTCTGTTGTTGTTGTTGTTTTGTTGTTGTTGTTGTTGTTGTTGTTTTATTAATTAACACTTTGCAGCAGTGCGTTTTCTATAAACCACGGCCGACTCGCTGCCTTGTGCTCTACGTGCATGTGCGTTGCGTGTGATGCATGAACACGCGCAATGTGCCCATTGTCAAGCATTCGCCGGGTTTTTCAACGAGTACAAGGACAGGGGGGATAAGACCTGCACACAAGGCAGGGTTTCTGACTCTGGTTTGTGTTGCGCTGACTGCGTGTTGCTTCCTAAAAGGAATAGTTGCAGCTCGACGGGTCAAATTGGAGAAAAGAATTGTTGAATATTAGATATATTTAAATGAAAATTGTATGTTTCTCATGGGGGTTTTATTATATTTATTATATTTAGCTTCATTTATTTTTGTTAGTGAGGATATATCGGAAGCAAAACTGAAAAGGCAAAACCTTTCTGTCCAGATTTAGTTTGCGTAGACTCGTCAGGAATTAAACGTTGCTGTAGGTTTCTAAAAAAAAAAAAGGTGCTCGTTTTTGTTAGGCCTGAATTTCATGGCTCTGAAGGGGGTTTTGCCAGATAATCATTGACAAATGGAAAATAGATCATGGGGAAAATAGCAAAAACCTGCAAGCAGCCTGAACAAACTGCAGATCAGGAGCTGTCGCCTCTCCGTTCTTGAACTGAAGGTGTTAGTCCTTGTTTGACAGCAAAGAACAAGAGAGGTGTTGGCTAACATCAACATCAACAGATGTTGTACTAAGCCCTGTGGATACAGAGGCAGGTGGCACTGCTTTGTCCACTCACTGTGCTCGCCACCCGTAAGAGACACCCTCTGCTGTCCTGTCCCTGTCCGCGTGTGGACAAGTGGGTCGCCCCGTGTGGACACGCCTTCCCACCCCGCCACCCCCACCTTCTTGCTTTCTCACCTGCCTGGCACACGTTGGCATCGTTCGGACTGTGCTGCATGCCACCACCACCACCACCCCCCCATTGCATCCCTTCATGCCCCCCGACTGCTGCATGCGTTGCAGTGTTCCTAAAATATGTCAATGATCCATTTATTTTTTGTACTTTTATTCCCACTGTCCGTCTCCTCATT